CAAAATAGGACTTCCCGGCTTCCCTGGGGGAGGTTATAGTCCCTGGCACCTTATCAGCACCAGGAGTTTTTAAGACAAAATATTAGAGCACAAAACACAGTAATTAACATCACCAGCATTGTTTGCTTCAGTCTACAACTTGCAGCCCACTACATAGCAAGAAGACCTTGCCTCGTATAGGACAGAAGCCTGTGTTTCACTGGAGGGTCTCTGCAGGACAGTTTTGTGATATTTTTTTTTTTTTCATTCAACTGGGTTTTCCTACTCCCTTGTCTCCTGGACCCACTTTCCAATGAGCAAGTTTAGAATGATTTCTAGAGGGCTCCACGGTTTGGATAAAAAGTTTGTGAGCAGGGCGCCTGGGTGGCTCAGTTAGTTGGGCGACTGCCTTCGGCTCAGGTCATGATCCTGGAGTCCCGGGATCGAGTCCCACATCGGGCTGTCTGCTCAGCGGGGAGTCTGCTTCTCCCTCTGACCCTCCCCCTTCTCATGCTCTCTCTCTCTGTCTCATTCTCTCTCTCAAATAAATAAATAAAATCTTTAAAAAAAAAAAAAAGTTTGTGAGCATTTGGATCTGGGCCTGGTGTTTTAGAGGTGTAACAAAACCCCAGATTCCAACTTCTCTCCTGGCTTTGGGTTTCTCCAGCTGCCTGAGCAGAAACCCCCACGTTCATTCTCAGGGACGTGAAGCACCTCATGTCCGCACGTGGGGCAGGCCCCTGGGGAAGGGCAGGACTCTGAGGTTCCCTGAATCATTGCAGAAATGGGGAGGGAACGGTGCCCTGGGGACATCGGGCTTCCTGCCCCAGTCCGTTAGGATTCTCATCACCTTCTCAGTACAACCAAATCCCCAGGATGCAAGTGATATAAATTTTAGGAGCTGGAACAAGAAACAACTAATAAAACCCCGAGAGAAATGCCAAGAAAGTGAATAAAAACTGTGACAGGAATAAGATACAAGGCTGCTTGTGTTGGATGATATAAATAAAGCATAAACAAAAACACAGCGTTGTGAGAGATATGAGCAGAGTATCCGTAAAAGTCACATATATTGGCATTCCTGGTCGCACAGCCTGCTTTTATCTTCATGAAGATTTCCCCATCCAGGCTGCTAGGCAAAGAATTCACCAGTTTAAAAGGTAAGGGGAGGGGCACCTGGGTGGCTCAGTCGTTAAGCATCTGCCTTCGGCTCAGGTCATGATCCCAGGGTCCTGGGATCGAGCCCCGCATCGGGCTCCCTGCTCTGCGGGGAAACGCGCTTCTCCCTCTCCCACTCCCCCTGCTTGTGTTCCCTCTCTTCTGTGTCTCTCTCTGTCAGATAACTAAGTAAAATCTGTAAAAATAAATAAGTAAAATGTAAGGGGAGCATTTGGCCTGAGAATACCTTGAGTGGGTATATAAATAGGGATGATCTTTTTTAGAAGACCATTTGACAATGTGATCATAATTTAAAATCCATATCCCCTTTGAGCCAACAATTCCACTGCAAAGAATTTACCCTGCCTTCTCACACCATGTGCCAAGGTCTCTGCAAAAGGATTTCCATTGCAGAATAATTTGTAATAGGGAAGTCCTTGCCACAACCTGAATGTCCATCAAAAGCCAGTTGGTTAAAGAGCTCATGGTGCATCTAGACAAGGGAATATTGTGCCACTATTTGTAAAAAGTAGATATATACCCACTGAAACTAGAAGTGGTCTATGGTATATTAAGTGAAAAGGCCAAGTACAGAACAAAAAAAATATGGTCCTACTTGTATCCATATTAGAAACATAGGTTAGATAGTTGATAAATGTTGGATGATAGATAGATAGATAGATAGATAGATAGATAGATAGATGATAGATAGATAGATAATAGGTAGATGATAGATAATAAAGGGATGGGTGGGTGGATGGGTGGATGGATGGATGGGTGGATGGATGGATGGATGGATGGATGGATGGATGGATGGATGGATGGATAAATACATGATGGATAGATGGATGGTTAGATTCTACCTAAATATAGTTTTTGCCATGTTTGTGTATCATTTTTACCAGTTGTTTATTAAAGAATAAAAGCTAGGAAGGACAAACTATGTAGCTGCTGGAACCCAGTCAAGGTTTGGTCCTTGCTCTTTGGAGGAAAGAGGCAGGTACAGCCCTGGCTCAGAGCACTCCCAGGACCAGAATTTCCTCCTTCAGCAAATCTCCAAACAGCCCAAGAAGCAGTGAGTGTCTACCCCACAGAACCTCTTTCAGGATGAATTGCTGCAATCTGGGGAAGAGGCACCTTCCAGGCACTGTGCCTATGGTGTGCCCTGGAGGGTTTTTAATAATTCCTTACTTTGTGGTCAGTGACTCTGGGTGAGTTAGCTCTACATGGACAGGGAAACAGCTCTACACCAAAGGGAGGCTGGGTCGGCTCTCTTGGTGACAGGACTGTCAAGGATTGGTCAATGGACAGTGCCCACAGGAGGCTCATGATAATAATGTCTCAATAATAAATGCCATTGGTTATTGAGTGCTCCCCATGTGCCCCTCCCCCCAAACACCAGGATGGCTCTGGGCATGTGATTCCATTCCGGCCTCACAACCACTCCGAGATGGAATCAATCTAGTTTTGCAACTGAAGAGACAGGCTCAGAGACAGCAAGGGACTAGCGCAAAGTCACACAGCCAAGGGAGGTAGAGTGGGACTCGGATTCAGTTTTCTAATGCCAGTGCCCATTTAAACTCTTCTCTCCCTCATGCCTTGTAGGGGGAATGTCTCCTGGCTTTTGAGCGGGAAAGCTCACAGGTACACCCCACATCCCCATTTCATTTCCCTCCACCCACACTTGGGGCCATGTTACAGGAGAGCAGCCCAGACCAACATATTGCAACATGAGCTTTTCTTCCAAAAGATAATTAGATTACCTCCCTCACCTTAAGGAAAAGAACAACAGATTAAAAAAGAAACATGACAAGCCATCTGAGTGCCAGGACTGCTCCCCTGAGAGTCGCACTTCCATTTCAGTCCCTCATTCTAGACACGAAACCAATTAAAGTAGTTGCAAGGCACATAGTTAACACCAAGTGACAAAAGCCTGCCTAAGTGTTTTAAAGATCTAATTTACCCACAGACTGTGCCCAGAAAAACATAGCTGGCCTGTTCTTGTACAACTTTGGAAGTGCTTGGCCCGGCTCCAACTTCGGGAGTGCCAACTCACCCTATTCAGATCCCTTGCAGTCACTCCCTGGGCTGCTATTGTTTTTGGACCAGGACAGCAGACAATGGGCGCTCTCGCCCAGGGGCGGTGCCGGGGGAGAGGAGCCAGATCTCCCTGGCAGGGGGGCTGGCTCCGTGAAATCACTTAGTCCCTATTACCAGCCTTGCCCTAAATTGTGCCCTCTCCCACTCTGCCCCCACCTAGAAAACATGGAGACGGGAAAGAGAGCCTACGGCGGAGGCAGGCCTTGGCAGGCCTGAAAGCAGTTGTCACGGTCTTAGCTCAGACTGGGGCATCTACTTGTGATGGAACGTGGGCCCCATTCCTTAGTTTGCAAGGATTTCATTCCAGCTTCAGGAAGGGGTCTTCAGAACATTGTACCCAAATGGAACAGAAAATGTACAACGGGCAATAAGAAGGTCATTCCTACCAGACGTGGTTCTCGTGCACGTTTTCTTCCCCTCTCGGTCCACGGAACATGAATCCCTGACGCCATGCATTGTCCACGAGTACCCAGCTTCAGAACAGGAAAGCGACCACACTCTTGATACGAAGCTTGTTTGTTTTTGTTCTTCCAAGATGTTTCTGTCCCTGAAAGATCCGTCGGGTACTCAGCATCTCCTTAACTTAGAAGTTATCTTGGTTTGCAGAACACCTTCACACACGTCCCCCTTTGATTCCGCCACTGGAGGGGGGTGGGGGGCTAGTTGATTCTCCCCATTTTATGGATGCAGAAGGACGAGACCCGGAAAGGCTTTCATTTGGTCAGTGGCAGGGGAGCCCCTACAGCCCTCACTCCAGCACCCCCATACCCCCATGATGTGACTTTCTCCTTCAGCTTCCTTTTTGCCCTTTTCTGGCATCTTTCCACTCATCCAGGAACTGCAAACTATTTTAACTGACTATCCGCTTTTGCAGAGCACAACTATAGACTCTCTCCTGCTATTCCACCGAGGTTTTCCAGGCATTTTTTTACACGTATTAAGTGTTCTTTGGATAACCCCTTCCGTGCTTAAGGGCTAGCCCACCTCAGACTCTCAGCACCAGGCTGCCAAGTGACCTTGCTATGTGCTGTTCCCTTGCCTGTGAGCCTCAGCCCTGGTGGCAATAAAGGGAGCACAGACATGGGATGGTGGCTTCCTCGCTGGACAAGAACAGGCTTCCAGGTAGCAAACCAATGTGAGGGGACAGGAGCAACGAGGGAGATGCCAGTGCTGCCCTCTGGTGGACCGGGGACCTCTAGGTGCTGGGTGAGCGGGCCTTGCCCACCCCGCAGGGAGCCCCGCACTCAGCTTCGCCCCACCCACGGAACTGGTGCCGAGCCGGCCAAGCCCAGCTCACCCAGGCGCCACCTGGGGCCTCCAGATCTTCCCACAGCCCCCCACCATCGAGTCCATTTCTAATTTGGTCCCTGCTTGCTTCTTGCCTTTTCTCATTTCCAGTAGAAAATCTGTGCTTCCCCCGGGCCCCTCATTCCTCGCTGTAACGCTGAGCATCGCTGCGAGGCTTCACCCCAGCCTCTGAGGCAGGTGTCGCTCTCCTGATTTGGTAGGTGAGGAAAAAGACTCAGAGGTTAAATAACTTGGCAAAGCCCCACAGATCAGAAGGGAGGGCCCCGGAATCCGAACCCGGACAGCCGGACCGGAGGGTCTGCGTCTCTAACCTCAGCGCTCTCCTGAAACCCACAGGGCTCCAGAAGAGACTTCCTGCAAATCACCCCCTGTTTTCAAGGCCACAGAGGGATTAGATCTTTAAGGAAACCTGGGTTTTAAATTGGTAATCCTCTTGTAATGTGAAGAACTAAAGTATGTGTCTGGATTTTTTTCTTAATTTGGGATTTACTGACAGTGAAACAGAATTGTCCCTTAGGCGATCATCGCTGGCGACATTTTAATGAGTTCTGACAGCAGATTTTGCCCTTGTATGTGGCACACAGGTCCCATGCCTGGGAAGGCTCACTGAGCTTGCACAGTAACCGGAGAGCATTTATGAAGGTAAACACATAAAACGCGACAGTGACAAGTTGTGCTCCTCGGGTGACGAGCTCTCAGTCTCCTCATCTGTAAAATAAGGTAAGGACACCGAGCTCACCGGGTGACTTTGAGGAATCTGTGAGCTAGTTCAGGTGAGGAGCTTACAGTGCAGGCACATAGCAAAGGACTAAAGAAACGTAAGGTGCTAGTACTGTGGAAACAGTGGGGTGCCATGATGAACTGGACTGGGAAGAGGCTTTAATCTGAGCGACCAGAGGAAGTGTCTCCCAGCAGTCATCCTCAGATGTAAAGCCTAAACCTTAAGAAAGCACCAGCAGTGGGGAGAGAGCACCTCGGGGGAAGGGAGGGGAACAGTGGTGTTAAGGCCTGAGGTGGGAAGGGAGGTGATGGTGCATTGGAAAGAAAACTTGGTCCAGCGGGCTAGCGTAGAGGGACTGGGGAGAGACATGGGAGGCTGAAGAGGAGTAGGGACCCTGTTGACACCACGGGCAGGTGGACACCCTCTAGCACATGGCCGGCAAAGAGGCAGAAGGAACGATTAGGGCTGGGACGCGGCCCATGCAAGGGAGGGTGCAGCGGGCTCTGGGGTGCTCATACTGTGGGGAGACAAGTGGAAGGTTTGGGAGGCAGAACTGATAGGGCTCGTCGGTGCCCGGAAGTGAAAGATGGACAAGCAGAACCCCCAGGCTGGGCCCCTTTGCAGAAGAGGGCCCACAAGGGTGCAGAGGTTCCAAGGGGGTGGAGTGGAAAAGAGCCAGCAGTCTCTCGTTAAGTGTGGGATGCCTGCAAGCCCCATCACCAGCCTCAACTCCAGCATTCACAGGACTCGTCCTTCTCTTCCCTTGTCCGTATCCCACGAGCCAGCAGGGCTTTAACTTCCCTCGCATCTACCCTTCCCCTCTGTTCCTCTGCCTTCCCCCATGGTCTGTCACCTGCCTCCAGCCTCCAGCTTCTCCTTCTCCAGACTATTGTCCCGAACTTCACTGTCACCAGGCTCTGACTCCACGCTGCCTCCCAACTTTCTGTCCTACTTCCTCCCTGCACAAACAAGCAGACCTCTCACCCACTGCTACCATGTACCCACCCGCAGTTCCCCTCTGGCAAGCCTTTCCAAGTCACTCCCGCTCACAGCGGGTTCTCATCCTTGGGGCACCTGCAGCTTTCCAGCTCATCTCACTCACTCCTCTGCTCATATGTGACCTCGCACTGTTGCTTAGACTTATGTGCATGAGCCTCCCCCAGCCCAGCAAGGCTTTATATGCCCCCAAAAGGGAGGACAGACTCCCCTTGTATCCCCATTGGGTGGTGAAGAGTAGAAACTCTAGGGACAAAGTTTCTTGACCTCTCCAAACCTCCATTTCCCCAACTGTCAAAGGGTGTAAATAATAGAACCTAGCTCAGGGGGTTGCTCTCAGCTTCCTATGTTGGAATCAGCCGCTGCCATGAATAGAATGAGCGTAAAAACTGACGGTGGCACTGACTGTGGGAACGGAATGTGGCGCTGGGATCCAGAGCTGGTGCGTAGTGGGGATCTTGTGACCTATTCTGAAAGAATGGGTGAACTGAGTGTCCCCGAGGCTCAGTCCCTTCCCCCTTCACAAATTCACCAGACGCCTGCCATGTGATGGACACAATCTTCGGGAGACAAAGAAATATAATCCCTGCCCCCATGGAAGTATATGGACCTTTCTTTCTCCCTTCTACCTAGGCTCTGAAGGGTGCAAACTTCACAGGGAGGGACAGGAGAGACCTCATTCCCTCTAAGGAGAACGTTCCATCACATCTGCATGCGGGGCACAGACCAGAGTCTGTGGCATCCAAAGAGACAGCTAGTTATACAAATAGGATTAAAATTCTTCTGGGTTATAATGCCTCATAGACCTCCCCCCCCACTTTGTCTGGTTAGGAAAGAGCAAAATCTTCAAAGGACAGCTGAGTCTCTCCCTCCTACATACTAAACTGTTGGGAGACAGGCTGCCACCCAGGGAAGTGTCTGCACATTCACCGAGCCAGTTGGACAACATTCTTCCAGCACTTGATAGAAAAGAGCCATTTCTGCATCTACTCACATTTTGTCACTTAATTGTCATTGTATAGGAGTTCATTAACGCTCCCTTAATTTGTTGTGAAGCGTTAAAAGGCTTTCAAATCTAGTCAAACTCAAAACTAGTTTATTTGCCTTTTATGATAATTGAAATGATGTGCACTGTAAAAAACCTTATGTTCAACATTGAGTGATATTAATTTCACTTGACTTCATGACTTAAGGTCAAATACGTTAATCAAGGCTACCATCATTAGCACAGTTTCCTTTTCTATTAAGTGATTATGATCACTTACTATTAATGAGTCGTGAAGTTTTAATAAATTTTTGCTGGTGTGAAATTGCAAAACAGCAATTATGACACATACTGTATGGATGGCTTGTTCTACAACGTAGATTTGGCCTAATGTTGGTAAAAATACAAAAGAACATTAAGTAATTAATCAGTTGCCTCCGTGGAACCAAAATAAGCCTTCACCATGAAGATAAATGGATGAAAAATTATGAGCCTTTGTTGTTCTTAGTGAACTGTTACACAGTGGGACCTGGACACTTAAAAGGACCTGATGTCCCCAAAATGACATCTTGACTGAAACCAGAGGACAAATAACTTTGCAAGAGTTTTTTTGGGTTGCAGTCAATATTTCTGGCATGGGACTGATTGTGACAGCACAGGGCAGGGGAGGCTTTCGAAATTAAATATTGATGCAGATAGATTGATAGAAATGGAACAAAAGGATTACTGTCTCAAGGCTGAGACAAGTCCTGGGAGCCTAGAATAGAACCAGAGGCAAGGATTTAGCAACCACATCTGGGGTTGTCTGCAGGGCATGCATAGAAGATTATGTTGAAATGCTGGGCCCTGGGCCCTGCCCCCAGAGACATTGGTTCAGTAGGTCTGAAATCAGGTCCAGGCATCTGCATACATTCAGGATTATTCTAAGAGAAGTGGTGTCCAGTCCACACGTTGAGAAATAATGATCTAGAAGCCCTAAGCCACAATTCCACAAAGCTATACAGGAGTCAAAATTCCTACTGAGCAAATACTCATGTGTCAGGTCTCCATATTAAGCACTAGATTGTAAATTTTCTAGATTGTTTATGATCGAATAAGAAAAGCATGGTATGTATATAAATAACAAATATATCACCATTTAAGATTCCCTGAACACTTATTTATAATGTGCCAGGCACCAAGCTGAGGAGTTAACATGCACAATGGGATTTGACTCACCACAACCCCATTTTACAGATGTGTGTTGGGCCAAGTCATGGAAAAGGCATGACGGTTGGTTGACCCATGAGCTGGACCCCGGCAAGTGGAGGGTCGCACTCCCTCCCCTGTCATTGGAATGTGTATTCCGCCTGCCTTCCTCATTCCCAGAAGCTTCCCAAGCCTTGAGATGGTGATGTAGTGTTGAGACCAGCTGGACAATATGTGGTCCGAACCCAGTGAAGACCTCTATTTAAACTTTTAAGATCTGGCAGGCTGGTTGTGGAGGTACAGTCACCTTTTAGCTCCGCAAGGTAAGCCCCGGATGTGTGCCACCTACCTAACCCATCTGGAGTATCTGGAGTAGCCTCTGTCTTCCTTGGGCTCTCCTTGCCCTCTGTGTATGGGGACAGTCTGTGAACTAACAATACAGAGACTAGGACACAGAGAGCAAGTGACTTGCCCAGAGTCACATGGCCAACAAAGCCAAGCTGAGACGTGCATTCCATTAGGCAGGCAACGGGCAGCAACTGAACACATTTCGGCAGGTGAAGAACACAGCCAGCGGCCACGGAAGATTTCTCCAGTGACAGCAGCATGCGGGGGGCACTCGGGGCAAAGCCAGGAGACCCCTTTGGGAGGTAGTCTCAGGTGCCCAGGGCAGTGGCTTTCAAACAGCTCCCTGGAGCACTGGAGATTTCGGTGTGAGTCCCGGAGTCAATGCGGAGGCAAAGTCCCTCATCCTGTGACCCACCTACTCTATACTCCCTGTTCTCATTTATATAGTGGCTCCGGGGGAAATGCTGTCATGTTAACAACATGTTTGAAAATCCCTGGCTTGGGGACACTGAGCAAAGGGGCAGAGGGTAGAAGTAGAGGCTCAAAGAAGCTTCCAGCAACGGGACCAGGTGTGCAGCCGTGCTGCAAAAATAGAGTGGCTGGTGATTCCTCTAAAAGGCAATGCAGACAACCAGTCCCTGAGTGTGGCTGAGAGGGACCTGAGTGCCAGGGATGGAAAACACTTGTCTCCAGCCCTGCGAGGTGCTTACTGTTGCCCTGCCCACTTGAGAGAAAAGGCTCACTGAGATCAAGTACCTCCATAAGGATCTCAACTACCCTCGTGCAGCACCCACCACATGCCAGACACTAGGCCAGCACTTTAGGTACCTACGGCTCAGGACAGCCCACGAGGAAGGCAGGATTATTTCCCTCATTTTCCAGATGAGGCTAATAAATGCATCTCACACCTCAGTGAGCATTTTGGGGACGGGAGACTCCAAAGCTCTTGTGTTTTCCTCTCTACCGTGATGACATGGTTAAGACTCGAACCATCTTAAGAATTTAACAACAAAAGATAGGGCAGCATCAGTTACACAGTGTAAACTGGACAGATGGGTCCTGCCAGTTACGCTAATTTACCACAGAGCTGGACCATTCAGGCACTTCTCAAAACCTGCCCCTGCTTGGAGTCACCCCTCCTGCAAGGACAGGAAGGCTGTCTAAATGCAAGAATGATGAAGAGTATCCAGAAAGCCAAAGTCCAGGGAGGGGCTACACAATCTGACAGAAAATGCACAAGGCATTTCCTATGACCACCCAATACCTTATTACACTGGATCACTTGCCTAGGAAACGTTTCTTTCTCCTTAACCATTGCCTATGTCATTGCGAAGCCATGAGTCCCAAGAATCTTCTGTGGAGTTCTTCACCGATAAGTCTCAGACCTCACGACCAGGGCCACGGGATCCTTGCCCCTCAGGTGCCCATCTGAAAGCTTGTCTGGGTTTGCCAAGAACAGTGTAAGAACCAAACCCCAGCTGGCAAATGCTGCTTTCTGTGTTCTTTACAAATAAGGTCATTTCCCTTATTCTTGGCAAGACAGGTGTCATCTGGTCTTTACTTCATTAAGTTGTCTTCAATCTTTACCCACACAAGAGGCAAAACTGAGAAGTAACTTGCAGACAAAATAGTGCCAACATGGAAACAAAAATAATGAGGTTGTAACCTGCATATAGCTCCAAGGAAACATATTTGCAAAGAGAGGGGAGCCGAGATGGCCTACTGCCCAGATTCCAGGGTAAGATGGTGATGTGACAGTTACCTCTCTCTAGCTGAGGTCACACAAAACCTAGGCCCTAGTGGTAAGAATTCACCCCCTGTGGACTCTGCTAAAATGGCCACTGATTCCACTTGAAATGGTGAAAACAAGAGTGAAAAGCTAATTTTTCTTGCGCACTGTGCACCAAGAATGCAGCTAAGCGCTTCTAGAGACATTTGCTCTAAATAAGAGGAGAATCAGAGGTTGGTGTAGGGAGCCTCACTTTACAGACTGGCCTAGAAAGGGCATGTTATCCTGTGGTCACACAAACAGCAAGTGGCAGAGCTGGGATCCCAACACAGTGTGACTTCAGGAGCCAGGCTCTCCTACCCTGTCACCAGAGGGCTGCTTCTATGGGCATCACCTTTTCAGAAATCAGTGTCCTGACCAGGAAACATCTGAAGGGGGTGGGGGCGGGGCAAGCAGCAGGCAGGCAAAGCGGGCTGAGGTGGAGGCAGAGGCCCTGGTACACACCCAGGACACATCCTAGGCAGATCAAAATCTTTAGTCTTTGGAGACTAGGTGCACCCAGTAAGACTCAGGTAGATCCACCTTTCTCAGAACGAGACTCTGTGTGACTCTCAACTGCGGAGCCTCTGTTGGGTTGATCAGCTCTGGAAGTCTCCAAGAGTGAAGGGCATAACATTAACTAACAATGGTTCTTTTTTGAGGGGCAGAATCTTCTGTGGAGTTCTTCACATTCATGATTTCTCTCTCCTTTAATAAAAATTTTAAATGTTCAATGTTGAGCAATTAGTTTATACAATGAAAAGAACATCAAACTCTACTTTAAAAATATGTATTAACCTATTACCTTACTGGCTATGATAAAGACACCCTAGGAGGGTAAGACTTTGTTACCAACATGACTCACTGAATAACTTTTGAAAAAAAGGCCCTAAGTAGATAGACACCCCACCCTGGCACATGCCTGCAGGAGTTGCTGAATTCTCTGTTGGCCACTTTTCTATCCTACTTATCAATCTACCGTCTTCCTTCCTTCTTTATTCACTTCATGCTTGCTTGGTTCTACAAGGAACCTTGGCAGCTTACATACAATTTAGTTAGATAAAAATTTGAAGTCGGTGAGAACAGAAGAGGCAACAGGAAACAAAGATGGAGATGTAGCACGCATGCCACCCAAGTCCTTGTCAGTCTCTCATCTGGGCCCTAAAGCGGGCAATAGTAAAGAAAGGAGTACTAATTACAATGTCACTGACTGATAGCACTCATGAGATCTAAAGAAACACAGGAGCACCACCATTCCTGAAACTACCATAAGAAAGCATTTGCTCCGGAGTCCTTCATACAGATGGCCCTCTGTGATGCAACAGTGGTCAATGTCCTCATCAATATCATTGTGATCATTTACGTATCAATGTAATCATTTCTAAACATAGACACAGACACAGCCCAAAGGCATTACCCCAAAACACTGTTGAGAAAACGCAATTCTAGTAGGCCTTGCATTAGGTCCAGGACCTTTCCTCACCAATGTCTGAGTTAATCTAAATTTTAGGGTATCATGAGCAATGGTGGCCAGACCCCAACGTCCTGAAGGTTGCCTCTGGAGTCCAGCAAATATTTATTTTAAATTTTACTCTTAAAGTATTTTAAATATCATAAATATATAATTAAACTACCTATAAACAAATGTGTTGTATAACAAGTTCTAACATTTTGGAAACTACTGAATTGGTGAGTCATGCTGCTGAGTTGATGTGTTCTCTGGATTCCTAGCCATGAAGTCCTGCCATACAGGTTTAACTGAAGTGTCCTGTGAAGACCAGGTAAGCCATGGAAGAAGCAAATATTTCCAATTGTACCCACTTATCCATGTGATTCAAGACACTCTTAAATCCACATGAACACAAATTAGGTTTGTCTTCAACTCTCCCCCATATGTCTTCAACTCTCCCCCAGAACTACTAATTTTAGTTTTGGATTCATGAAAACAACCTCACTGACTGGGAAGATAAGATGACCAACTGCAATGTGGTCCTCTGGATCCTGGAGCAGAAAAAGGACATTAGTGGAAAACCTGGAGACATCTAAATCAAGTCTACAGTTCAACTAATTGTATGGTGAGAATATTAATTTCATAGTTTTGAGGAATTTTTCATATTTATATAAGATGTTAATGGAATAACTAAGTGATAGGTATACTTCTCTATATACTATCTTTGTGATTCTTCTACAAATCTAAAGTGATCTCAAAAAGTTTAAAATTTTTTAATAATCTCATTGTTTTCATGTATTAATAAAAAACATGTTTTACATTTAAGCTAAAACAATTACATAAATATATAAAAATTTCATGTGAATATGTTTTAATTAATTAATTAATTTATTTATTTATTTTTTAATTTTATGTTATGTTAGTCACCATACAATACATCATTGGTTTTTGATATGGTGATCCACGATCCATTGTTTTCGTATAACACGCAGGGCTCCATGCAGTACGTGCCCTCCTTAATACCCATCACTGGGCTAACCAATCCCCCCTCCCCCCTCCCCTCTAAAACCCTGTTTGTTTCTCAGAGTCCATAGTCTCTCATGGTTCATCTCTCCCTCCAATCTCCCCCGCATTTTTCCCTTCCTTCTCCTAATGTCCTCCATGTTATTCCTTATGTTCCACAAATAAGTGAAACCATATGATAATTGACTTTCTCTGCTTGACTTATTTCACTTAGCATAATCTCCTCCAGTCCCATCCATGTGGATATAAAAGTTGGGTATTCATCTTTTCTGATGGCTGAGTAATATTCCATTGTATATATGGACCACATCTTCTTTATCCATTCATCCGTTGAAGGGCATCTCGGCTCTTTCCACAGTTTGGCTATTGCGGACATTGCTACTAAGAACATTGGGGTGCATATGGCCCTTCTTTTCACTACATCTGTGTCTTTGGGGTAAATACCCAGGACTGCAATTGCTGGGTCATAGGGTAGCTCTATTTTTAAATTTTTGAGGAACCTCCACGCTGTTTTCCAAAGTGGCTGTACCAACTTGCATTCCCACCAACAGTGTAAGAGGGTTCCCCTTTCTCCACAACCTCTCCAACATTTGTTGTTTCTTTCCCTGTCCATTTTTGCCATTCTAACTGGTGTAAGGTGGTATCTCAGTGTGGTTTTGATTTGGATTTCCCTGATGGCTAATGATGATGAACATTTTTTCATGTGTCTGTTAGCCATTTGTATGTCTTCTTCAGAGAAGTGTCTGTTCATCTCTTCTGCCCACTTTTTGACTTATTATTTGTTTTTTGGGTGTTGAGTTTGAGAAGTTCTTTATAGATCTTGGATACCAGCCCTTTATCTGTAGTGTCATTTGCAAATATCTTCTCCCATTCTGGGGGTTGCCTCTTTGTTTTGTTGACTGTTTCCTTTGCTGTGCAGAAGCTTTTTATCTTGATGAAGTCCCAAAAGTTCATTTTTGCTTTTGTTTCACTAGCTTTTGGAGATGTATCTTGAAAGAAGTTCCTGTGGCCAATGTCAAAGAGGTTACCGCCTATGTTCTCCTCTAGGATTTTGATGGATTCCTGTCTCACATTGAGGTCTTTCATCCACTTTGAGTTTATCTTTGTGAATGGTGTTAGAGAATGGTCGAGTTTCATTCTTCTGCATGTGGCTGTCCAATTTTCCCAGCACCATTTATTGAAGAGACTGTCTTTTTTCCATTGCATGTTTTTTCCTGCTTTGTCAAAGATTATTTGACCATAGAGACGAGGGTCCATATCCGGGTTTTCTATTCTGTTCCATTGGTCTATATGTCTGTTTTTGCGCCAGTACCATGCTGTCTTGGTGATCACAGCTTTGTAATATAGCTTGAAATTGGGCAACGTGATGCCCCCAGCTTTGTTTTTCTTTTTCAACATTTCCTTGGCGATTCGGGGTCTTTTCTGATTCCATACAAATTTTAGGATTGTTTGTTCCAGCACTTTGAAAAATGTCTGTGGAATTTTGATCGGGATGACATTGGAGGTATAGATTGCTCTGGGTAGCATAGACATTTTAACAATGTTTATTCTTCCGATCCATGAGCATGGAATATTTTTCCATCTTCTTGTGTCTTCTTCAATTTCTTTCATGAGTGTTTTGTAGTTCCTAGAGCATAGATCCTTTACCTCTTTGGTTAGGTTTATTCTGAGGTATCTTATGGTTTTTGGTGCTATTATAAATGGAATCATTTCTCGAATTTCTCTTTCTACAGTTGCGTTGTTAGTGTATAAGAAAGCAACGGATTTCTGTGCATTGATTTTGTATCCTGCCACATTACTGAATTGCTGGATGAGTTCTAGTAATTTGGGGGTGGAGTCTTTTGGGTTTTCCACATAAAGTATCATGTCGTCTGTGAAAAAAGAGAGTTTGACTTCTTCTTTGCCGATTTGGATGCCTTTTATTTCTTTTTGTTGTCTGATTGCTGTTGCTAGGACTTCTAGTACTATGTTGAACAATAGTGGTGAGAGTGGCATCCTTGATGTGTTCCTGATCTTAAGGGAAAGGCTCTCAGCTTTTCCCCATTGAGGAGGATATTCGCTGTGGGTTTTTCATAGATGGATTTTATGAACTTGAGGAATGTTCCCTCTATCCCTATACTCTGAAGAGTTTTAATCAGGAAAGGATGTTGTATTTTGTCAAATGCTTTTTCTGCATCAATGAGAGGACCATGTGGCTCTTCTCCCTCCTCTTATTAATGTGTTCTAGCACATTGATTGATTTGCGAATGTTGAACCACCCTTGCATCCTGGGGATAAATCCCACTTGGTCGTGGTGGATGATCCTTTTAATGTATTGTTGGATCCTATTAGCTAGGATTTGGTTGAGGATTTTGGAATCCATATTCATCAGGGATATCGGTCTGAAATTCTCCTTTTTGATGGGGTCTTTGCCTGGTTTGGGGATTAAGGTAATGCTGGCCTCATAGAATGAGTTTGGAAGTTTTCCTTCTGTTTCTATTTTTTGAAACAGCTTCAGTAGAATAGGTATTATTTCTTCTTTGAATGTTTGGTAGAATTCCCCAGGGAATCCATCAGGCCCTGGACTCTTGTTTTTTGGGAGGTTTTTGATCACTGCTTCAATCTCGTTACTGGTTATTGGCCTATTCAGGTTGTCAATTTCTTCCTGTTTCAGTCTTGGCAACTTATAGGTTTCCAGGAAGGCCTCCATTTCATCCAGATTGCTCAGTTTATTGGCATATAGTTGTTGAAAAGAATTTCTAATAATTGTTTCTATTTCCTTGGTGTTAGTCGTGATCTCTCCCCTTTCATTCATAATTTTATTAATTTCGGTCCTTTCTCTTTTCTTTTGGATAAGTCTGGCCAGTGGTTTATCAATCTTATTAATTCTTTCAAAGAACCAACTTCTAGTTTCGTTGATCTGATCTACTGTGTTTCTGGTTTCTAATTCATTGATTTCTGCTCTAATTTTAATTATTTCTCTTCTAATGCGTGCCTTAGGCGTCATTTGTTGCTTTTTCTCTAGTTCTTTAAGGTGTAGAGTTAGTTGGTGAATTCGGGATTTTTCTATTTTTTTGAGTGAGGCTTGGATGGCTATGTATTTCCCCCTTAGGACCACCTTTGCAGTATCCCATAGGTTTTGGACCGATGTGTTTTCATTCTCATTGATTTCCATGAATTGTTTAAGTTCTTCTTTGATTCCTTGGTTGACCCAAACATTCTTGAGCAGAGTGGTCTTTAGCTTCCAAGTGTTTGAATTTCTGCCAAATTTTTTCTTGTGATTGAGTTCCAGTTTTAGAGCATTGTGGTCTGAGAATATGCAGGGAATAATCTCAATCTTTTGGTATTGGTTGAGACCTGATTTGTGACCCAGTATGTGGTCTATTCTGGAGAAAGTTCCATGTGCGCTCGAGAAGAATGAGCATTCTGTTGTTTTAGGGTGGAATGTTCTGTAAATATCTATGAGGTCCATCTGGTCCAATGTATCATTCAAAGCTCTTGTTTCCTTGTTGATTTTCTGCTTAGATGATCTGTCCATTGCTGAGAGTGGAGTATTGAGGTCTCCTACAATTAACGTATTGTTATCAAATGACTCTTCATTTTGGTTAACAGTTGGCTTATGTAGATGGCTGCTCCCATGTTGGGGGCAGAGATATTTACAATTGTTAGATCTTCTTGTTGGATAGACCCTTTAAGAATGATATAGTGTCCTTCTATGTCTCTTATTACAGACTTCAGTTTAAAATCTAACTTGTCTGATATAAGAATTGCTATCCCACCTTTCTTTTAAGGTCCACTGGCATGGAAGATGGATCTCCATCCCTTCACTTTCAGTCTGGATGTATCTTTAGGTTCAAAATGAGTCTCTTGTAGGCAGCATATGGATGGGTCCTGTCTTTTTATCCAATCTGCAACTCTGTGCCATTTTGTGGGAACATTTAGGCCATTCACGTTGAGAGTGATTATTGAAAGATATGAATTAATTGTCATCATGTTGCCTGTGAAGACGTTGTTTTTATAGATTGTCCCTGTAAATTTCTGTTGTAGATCACTCTCGGGGTCTTTCTCCTTTTATAGAACCCCCCCCTTAATATTTCTTGCAGGGCCGGCTTAGCGGTCACATAATCTTTCAGTTTCTGCCAGTCGTGGAAGCTCTGCATCTCTCCATCCATTCTAAATGAAAGCCTTGCCAGATAAAGTATTCTTGGCTGCATGTTCTTCTCATTTAGTACCCTGAATATGTCTTGCCAGGCCATTCTGGCTTGCCAGGTCTCTGTGGGTAGGTCTGATGTTATTCTGATGTTCCTCCCTCTGTACGTAAGGAATCTCTTCCCCCTAACTGCCCTAAGATGGCTTCCTTGGTTCTAAGATTTGCAAGTTTTACTATTACATGCCGGGGTGTTGGCCTGTTTTTCTTGATCTTGGGAGGGGTCCTCTCTGCCTCTAGGACTGGAATGTTTGTTTCATTCCCTAGATTAGGGAAGTTCTCAGCTATGATTTGCTCAAATACATCTTCTAGTCCTCTCTCTCTCTCCACTCCCTCCGGGATTCCAATTATTCTGACATTGGAATGCTTCATGGTGTCACTTATTTTCTGATTCTATTTTCATGGATT